AAACACTGCCATGTATTCTCTAATTGAAAAATAAAAAGTAAAAAAATTACGGTCCATGTCCTACTACTCAATACTTCCAAAGTACATCAAAGAGGAATCTTGTGAACGATTTGGTCCAGAATTCCCGAAAATCGTAAGTCCTTAATAGTCTATACTTAATTTCTTGCATATTTACATCGTACGAAATAAGAAAGACAGAATATTTGGCTAGGCCCTCAATTGTGATGTTTCTCAAATATATTAAATGGAGGAATAAAATCATTAATTCAAGAAGAAAAATAGGCCTTATATGTTAGTGTTTATCTAAGCAATTAATGCATTCCATGACGCAAACCTCAGAATCAAATCAAACATACAAGTCTCTTCCATAACCACAAAGTTCGATTCCTTTGAACCCACAAAACTTACTTCAAGTTGGCAAGCTTTCCATCGCTCATTCTCTCTATAAATCCCCTCTTCTCCATATTCAAGAATCTTAAAACACTAAAATCCCTAAAAGAAAGAGACATTACACCAAGAAGATATGGATATATGGTCATGGATATGTGAACTCCCCAACTCGGACGAGTGGAGCGAGTCGAACTCACCTCAAACTTTCCTACTCGCAGCTTCCAAACCAACCCTACTCAACAACTCAGTTCAAACAATTGAACTTAAAGCGGAGAGAACATTTCGATCCGACTCAGAATCGTTCCTCAGTTTCTCTATACACTTTCTTTCTGAGTCTAACTCTTCTAGTGCAGCACAGATAACCCATTGGAAATCTGATACTTGTCCCTTGGCTTCAGACAAGCCACTCTTGCCTCTAATACTTCAAATCCTTCAAGAGATAGTATCCCGTTCCCCCCACCACACACGATAGCACTAGTCCTCGTACACGGCTTCAGAAGCTGAAATCTGAGCCGGTTCCGTGGATTCTGGACAGGCACTCACCAGAATATTTCTCAAATTTCTTTAACTTCATCTTCCACACTCACCTTTTCTGGCTATGTGCATGCGACGAGCCTTCAGAAGCTGGCTCCCTGTATTTCCATTCGTTGCTTGCTCCAAACCTCGAAACTTTCTCATGTAAAGCTACTCCTGTTCTTTGTAATTTCTTCATCATCGTAGTAACGGACATGGAAATTTGCTTCATGCATACTTTTGGGTACATAGCAGCAAAATGGTTGGTCTCTAGTGATATTGAGGTTGGATTAGTCTTTGGCACCATTGCCATCTCATAATCTTGGATTTTCATAGGCCATGGACTCTCAAGAGTTATGGATTCTGAAAGGCTACTCTCCAGTGATATCCATGCAGAGCAGTAATAATGATCGTAAAAATTATCAAAGCCCTGCTATTATTGAAGGCAAAGAATCTGTACTCAAGAATGCACTGGCACACAAGCAGCTTGGGGCTGTATTTCAATTGGAATATTCAGTGGGATTCAATGATGGATTTATCCAAGTAAAAGCACATATCGACAACCTGCGTTTCGACGTGGTGAAATTAGGGTTTATGAAAAATGATGAGGATGGTAATTGGATGGATGAAAAGTATTTTCCATCAAGAATCCGGGTTTGGGTTGGGCCGGAAGTGGGTGCAAGCTATGTGTGCGAGCTGAGCTTGGGCAGGTCAACTGACAATATGGAAAGAGAGATGCAAATACAAAGGAGTTGAAGGCTACTCATGGAAAATCAAAAGTCCCTAAGGTGAAGACAATGGCAAGAATGGCATCGAGGACAAAAATGAAAAATTGGAGGTGGGACCAAGATGTGGAAGGAAATGCAGCTACATTTGATGCAATTTTATGTGACAACAACACTGGCACCGAGATTGCCACGTGGAAGCCTTCAATTGGTGGTGGAATTCAATTTTGGAAACGATACACCGGAGGCAGTCTGGCATTCACTAAATCCGGTGGTTTAATTTTCTCCAGAAAGCAATATAAGGACTGGGTTGGGTGGAGGTTGAGCAAAGAGATGCAGGGGAGTGTACTGAAATGGAGAATAGGAGCACAAGTGTGGTTGACCTACTTGCCTAATGACATAAATAGTTCATATTACGAGACGGTTTATTGAATGGTGTGATGAGGTTGATTTAACTTTGATACCTAACAAATATTAGAAATAGAAGAGCATCATGTAAATTAATATCGTGTATTATGTTAATGACAGTTCTTCTTTTCTTTAGATAATAAAAGTCACATTTTAATACTACGAAATGTTTTGTAATGCTTCTCTCCATTTATAGACTGATATCGACAGATTGCATGATATAATCTAACATTTCATTAAAGATAGGTCCTTGTCAAGCCAATTTCAGTCTTTTCAAGTTTAAAACTGAAAAATGGATTCACAATATCAAATTATGTGCCAAACACACCCTCGTAGTCTATCAAGGAACTGGCCTAAGCTGGAACCTTGATTACTTCCTCATCAGTGTTATGAGGAACTATGTTGGGAGCTATTCCAGCTAACCAATTTGTACTTAAGGTACTTATTGCAATGGTTAAACCACAACCAAATGCTGGGTTTAATTGGAGTCTGGAGAGAATATGGACAGTTAAATACCGGTTGTAGGGCAGTAGTGATGCTGACAAAAAAGGGGGTTAGGGGCAGAGGAAGCCAATGCCAGTAGAGCATAATACCATAGTTGCTAGTCCTGACCCGGATGGACAATGCAACAGTTTCGGTGGGTCAACCGGTGACTTGATGGTTCGACCAGCGGGTCAATTCCTATCAAATATATTATTAACTATTTTTAATGTATAATAAAATTTTGATGTTTTTTACCACTGACTAGATTAACCTAGTTATTTTGTGACTAAAGATCAATATGGATGCCAAAATTCATCAAAGACTGTAAAATATTTGTGAAAAATACATTTGCAATATAAAATCAACCACCAGTGACCAAAAACTACTTTGTAAGCCAAAATTCAACAAGATCGCTCCATATACTGAAAGAATATACTAGTTGTGTGATTATGTGTAATTTCTAAACTCTATCAAGGAATGAGCATAATTCAAACTTCAAAGCGATGATTTTTCTGTTGGCAGCACATTGTCCTGATAGTCTGCACAGGTTCTACTAACCGATAATCATGATAGATTAGTTTATATTTTTCACCTACTTTTCAATTTCTTATGATCTTTATGCAAAATCTCTAATGATCATTTTTCAACTACTTTAAACTGGCTAATTAAGGGACCGGAGAATAAATCTAAAATTAAAATTTTCTGTTGATTTTTAAATATTGATTCTACAATGTATTCATCCCCAATCTCTCCAAGTGAAATCAGTAACCCAAGCATTCACTAATTGAACAAAAAGGCACAATTGAAAAGGCTAACCAAAAAGTCGATTCCAAATTCACCCATGAAATTTCATAGTTTACAACACGGAGAAAATTATAACATGAAATTCTAGTGAAAATCATAACATGAAATTCTAGTGAAAATCTTCCAAAATTCACCAGCGAAGCAAAATCTTTTTGACATATTTTAATGGCAAAAAATCGAAATTCACAAAGAAAACCTTAAATTTTAGACTTAATCTTTCCATCTAATACAACTCCAAGATTTGGATTCTTGGGAGTGGAATTGCAAGAGACGGGTGAAGCTGTGTTTCTGCCATAGGCTTAAGGGCATCGTATAGTGAGTGGCAAAATGAGACATGATGAAATTGGGTTTCTACATAAAGTATAAGGCGCAGGCGGTTCTTTTACATTTGGGCCAGCAGGTTATTTAAAAAAAGGCGGTTCATATGGGTTTCCACCAGGTAGCAGGCACAGTTACAAAATTGAGACGCATGGCCCGGTCCGCCGATTTCCGGACTGAATGAGCCGGTCGGGTCCCGGTTTAATAACACTGCTAATTAGTGAAATTGTGTGGCAACATAATGCGTGGTGGTGGGAGGTGGTGAATGCCAATAGACCTATGTTGCTCGGACTCTCCATTTTTGGCCAAGTATCCGTGTCGACACGACACGGATACGGATATGCGATACGGGTCGGATACTCGGCTTTGAACTTGGACACGACTGGAAATAGAGGAATGAAAATGGCAACAGCATTAATCCGATAATTATAGACAAGCAGACAGGGAAGATGAGGGTTGGAGCTTTGAAGGAGACGAAATTTCTGGTGCATTAATTGCTATTTGATGAGTTAGTCTCTTTCCCCGTAAATTGCACCAGATTTGAAGATTTCTCCTATAATGGGTCAACTCTTGGAATTGCAAACGACATTTGGAATTGCAAAAGTCGTTTTATCTGCCTTCTTGGAATTTTTGCACCAAAGAACTCCACATACTTTTCATCTTCCTCTACAGAAAATTATTTTCTTCAATCGAAAATTCAATCAAAAAATTCCAGAATATTGCTTACTCCTAATTTTCAAGTATGAATCCATCTAATTCAATCAAAAAATTCCAAAATTATGTTTTGTTTGAATTTAGATTTTTATCATTATATGAAACATTTGCATTGTGGTAATTTACCTTTTTGCTTTAATATTGTTGTTGCGTACTTTAATTGAACAATTTTAAAAAAAAATTGTAGGACGTATCCCCGTAACCGTAGCTACAATTCGGATCCTTTTTAACCATATTCCCATATTTTAATTTTAAAAATGAGAAGAAAACGACCCCAAGATATGTACCCGTATCCGACACCTGCACCCGAGTCCGAGCAACATAGCCAATAGAAAATGGTGGTGCCGGTGTTTGGTGGTGACAGTCCTTCCTAGGCAATATACACATCAAGAACATTGTTGACATTTCGTGTTCTCGATCTAGTAATCATCAAAATATCTAGAGATACACCCTTCACATGCAAAGCAAACTTACTTTTTCAGTACGCAATTTTCATGAAGTGGAAGTAGTGAGAGATGGACTAAGAACCTCAGCTACAAGGTCCACTACTTTGACACAAAGTTTAATCATCCCAACTAAAAGTTTAAGAAGATAAAGATGTTACAAATTCTTTTATTTAAATTTAGTCATATATTTACATATGCATTAAAAGTGAACTGGAGATTTGCTTTCATTAACTGGAATTACTCAACATAACAAATCAAACATGAGCGGAAAGAACAAGTGACTGCAAGCTAAGGTATAGGGTTCACAATATGAAGAACACATTTTTTCTTCTATTTCTTTCCCCATGAAGATTAGTTATGGTTTCTGCAATTATAAAAATAATACTCACAGTTATAAATAACTCCTTTTGCTTTACCCCAACAACATTGGTTACGAGTTTCCACAAATATAGATAATATTAAGAATTCGTTAAAGCTTACACGATCTATGTGATAGAAAGCTTTTGGTTCTTGTGCATGATGACTGGGAGCCTTTTGCTGATGATCCCGGGATCATTATAAGAAGCAGAATCAGTAGGATATCCTCTCTGCACCAGATTATTGAGAAAAAAATTTGTCATTTTAGAAGAAGAAAACAAAACTTAATACAAAGAAAGATCTTATCAAGAATTCATTTGAAATGCAAACTTAAACTTTCAAAGATACCCAAACATATTTGAAGTAGAGAATGTGTATTAAATGCACTGACATCCAACCAGGACTTTTTCAATTAAATGCACTGACATCCAACCAGGTCTCTTTCAACTTCCAATAAGCTAAACTTGTGAAAAGGATTGACCATTCATACCATATTTAACAAACTTGACTCTACTAAACCCGACCAAGCACAGGGTCACTACACTCAGTGGTAAAACCAGTTGCCCAGTTGAATTATATGAGAAGTTAAAAATGTAATGTTAGAATCTTAGCGAAATATTACAATCCATTTTCTCTTTTAGGTTGTTAGATTTAATTAAACTTTACTCCTACAGATCAACAAATTCATAAAATAGCTATTTAATATTTTAAAAACTAGCTATCTTTTTTCTAGTTTTGTACTTGGTTGCTGGAATACTAAATCTACATATAATGTGCACTGTGATGGAAACTTTATATTTCTTATAGGCTAAGTCATGGTTTTAAAATATTAGTAGTTATTAGTAGTGCAAAAATAACTGGAAGACATAGTGGTATAGCAGAATGATCATGTCTACTTTGTGAACTGGTTTAGTCCAATTTTAACCAATCAGAGTCACCAGTTTTCCAAAAAAATAGACAGTTTACCAGTTTGTAACAGGTTGTTTCCTATAACCCAAAACTTCCAAAATTTCAACTAGGTGGTAGCAACACCACACAGGATATGACAAAATATACATGCTACCATCGCATACATATAATTATGATATCTCATTCAACTCCCCAGGATTTAGTGAACAATTCAAAATGTTTTAAGATGTGAACTTGGAAAAAAATAGTTATCATATAGCTAACCAGTACGGAATAAGGATTTCCTCATGTTCTGGGAGTTTTTCATTTTTTCTCCTGGGCCAGAGTGGGGTGTGGGTTGGGCGGGGGGAGCAAACAGAGATAACACATACCAATGACAAAGCTTGAAATGTGGCTTCTCTCCAGCAGATTTCTCGAAGAATAATGGGCAACGAACTCTCCCCAAAAGTGCAATGCATTCGTGTTTCCCTTAATCTCATAAGCACTCCATCCACTCTCAGCTATGAGAGTACATCCAACAATAAATACTCAGCAACAAAAATGGTTGTAAATGTGGAATAATCCATAAATTCTGAGTGTGTTCTCAGAGTATACACTCTCCAACTGATGATAATTCAAGAGTGAAAACAGAAAGAAACTGAACAAAGAAATGTGAGTCTCATAATTCAGTTTTGAGCAACCATTTAGTAAATAACATTTGTAAACGTTGATTCACCAAAAGAACGTATTATGACGTGTTATTCTTTAGAAGAGACTCACCCAAAAACGCAAGAGAAGAAACCAACCACTGGGCATGACTCTCTACAGAATTGCAACAAGCATAATTAGATCTACACCATCCAGAATGAAAAAAAGGAGCAGTAATTAAAGCAAAGATCTGTGATTACCACTTTAACTGTCAAAAGAGAGACACCGTTGTCAGCTAATTCATCTTCATACAAGATGACCTGTTAAGGTACAAAATTTTACATTTGTGCCATTGTAAAGAAATAGAGCAGGGGTACACAAAGCTTTAGATGTCACCTATCATTTGATCACAAACCTCATCATAGAAAAGAATAGGCTCTTTTGATGCTAAGGCAACCATGTCAATCTTCTCATTGCAGTCTTCCCAACGAGCTACACTTCCAGGCTAATAAAGATTAAAATCAAGAATAACCTTAGGAATTTAACGATAAACAGCATCTAAGGCAAAGTAAAATACCCTCTATGTTCAGAGCAAAATGGGCAATCTTGGTTTGTGAGAAACTGTGATAAAAATTGTATATGAAACTTATTACTAATCTCCAGGGGTGGCCAATTGCAGAACATGGGACAAAGGAATCTCAAGAAAACGGTTTAAGTAGGCATGACCAATAGGCATCACCAACTCAAACTTATAACAATAATGATGACGAATGTACGAACAAGAACAATATTGATGAAAGGAGAAAGAGAATTTAGAGGGAAGAGATTTAAGTTTTTATTCAGCCCCTCTTTGATTCCCATTCTTTTCAAATTCTTTTTTCTACAGGATTATTTTCAACCATACATTCACATAATAAAATATTATATACGTAAACACAAAACTTTTTCACTACATTTTAATCACACATTCTCCTAGAACACTATTCAAAACTCTCTTCTTCTTTTTAACAAATAGCCACCAAACAGGAGCTCAATATTCTAGAGGTATAATTGAGAAGGAAACAAATAAATAAACCCTAATTTAGTCAAACTACAAACCTATCAAACAATAACCTAATTCTAGCCAAACTACAATACTAATATAAATTAACTATCTTGATTCCTCATCAAATACTCAAGGAATATTAGAATGGAGAAACCTCTCAGCTTTGAGTACAGCTACGATGCATCAGAGAGAGAGAGTACACACCTTAGCATTCGTCTCAATACTATCGGTTCCACAGTATGGTGTGGTGAAGGTATAGTCATAATCAAGTATCACCTGATGATCAGGTTTGCTGCAGAATATAGGAGATAAAAAGAATGAGAGAGTAAGGAATACACAAAGAGAGAAGATGAGATAATGTAGCAATTATTTTGTATAAGTGACACTCTACTTCCAGTACAGAGAGAGACGGAACTCAATAATTTTTTATAGGTCCTTATGGATGAAGTTCTTCACTGACTAAATTAACACTTCATGTACTTAGGCCTACTCCAACTAATTTTGAACAATTTTACATCTAGATACTCCATCCAAAAATATAATTTAGAACTAATTCTTCTTATCTACCAAAATGATATCACATACAAGAATATACAGCATAGAACCTCATCTTGCCTCTTCTTATTCATCATCCATCATAATTAAACAAATAAATATGGGCTTAAAGCTGAACACAAATGCAATTATAAATAATAAGAATTGTTCTCACCATGATGACATAATCCACTCATACAGATCTTCAACAATACCAATTACCCATTTTTCCATTCTTTTCAAATAAACACCATAGCATGCTTGTTGCAATCCCACAATTCTCCTTTTCTAAATCAATATAAATAGCCAAACATACTTTTTCTTTCCCAGATCACTCCATCAATCTCAAATTAATAGCCTTCATAGTCAATCTGCCACGAACAAATCCAAGACGACTATGAAATCTTAATTTCAATCCTATATAGCCCGTCAATCTACCCAAAACTTCACACATTTAGATATTTTCCTCACTAACTAAGTGATGAGGCAAACATAATAGCTAAGACGAATGGTTTGTCTATATTTGCACCAAACAATAGCCTGAACTAGTAAATTGAGGGTTTTGTATTAAGTATAAGCATTCATCTGAGAATTTCATGGGAAAGCATTTACAGTTTAAGGCACCAGTAATGAAGATCTGGTGTATATTTTACCTTCTGAATTTCCATTGTTCAGCAGCAGGAACTTCCACTGGTGGTAATGACTCCTGCTTCCAACCAAGGAGAGCATCAAATGCATTAAAATGTATCTTAATGCCACTATTCACGTGCTTAAGAACCAAAGAACTCTCCCCAAAAATCATCTCTGGAAAGTGGGATGTCTGAAGCTTCTGTTCCCACCTATAGACAAAGAGGACGTAAAGCAATTAATGATTAAATTTCTCCAAGATATGGAACAATATATATATTTAACAAGAGACCACAGCAGTACAAAATATAAAAGAATACAATAGTTCTATCCAGCATCTGCTCCAACACAAGCATTATTATTCAATGAAAATCCATATATGCACTTAAATCCTTCCACAACACTTGAAAAAAAAAAATACTACATGCTTGATGAAACAGTGAAGTACCTCTTAATTGCTTAAACATACATGGTATAACACAGTCAACATTGACCTACTAGCTTTGAACTGTCCAACACTGCAGTCCATTGAAAAGATCAAAGTATTTTCTTTCCAGAACAACTTTACTCAAGCATGTCCTGTAAAAACCAGGTGCATGTCATTGGACTGCCCCAGTTCAACTTATTTAGGCATAATGCCGTAATCTAACTTGACCAACCAATTAAAACGAAACCTAATAATAAGATATTTTCTCCCACCAAGTTTAAATGGCAAATATAAGTTCTGCCAACTCTTCGGAGAAGACGCACTTAAAGTTCATAACCTCTATGTCTTCATTAAAATACCTCCAACAGAAGGTAGAAAACAGGGTGACCAACAAAGCTCAATTACAGTAGCTATGGAAATTCCCCAACCACGACTGCATTCAACAGAGTTGAAAATACAATTAAATCAACTCAAATCCTTTCTCGGTGCTGTTGATATGCTCCCTCGTGATCATTATGTTAAGCTTTTCATAAAAACAATTTTCTTTTTATATCAGTTCGGCCTTCTCTAAAGACGAGCCATCTCTTACTGCATATCAAAATGGCAATAACAATAATTAGGAAGGATGTTCCCACGACCCATGAAATAGTGGCACAAGTCCTAAAAACACACAATGGTGGAACATAATATAACTTGAGAAGAAGCCTTACCTCAACGCCAAAGAGAAGCTAAACCCTAATCTTTTTTCTACCCAACTAAAACCTTGCATTCCAAATCTCGAATTAATTCCCTACAGCTTGGCAATTCTCGAGAAAAACTCCAAACAAAACCCATAACTACGAATCGATGTTCCGAATAATAGGCAGAAAAATGTCAAATTCACTACGCGAGATGTATAACTTAAGTTCTTGATCAGAAACCTTATCACCCTTATTAATTGCTCCTCAACAAACTAATAGCTACAGTTTTGATGACGCAACATTAAAATGATACACAGATTGCGCAATCAAGAAAACAAGGGAAACAGAGGTATACTGTTGGAGAAGCGAACAGTTAAGAATGGGAAGCTTGCGCGATTCAATTTCCCACCCACGAATGCGAAGGCCAAGGCGGCCGCCGTCGAGCGGCTCTGCTCCGGCGGCCTTAAGCTCCCTTTCATCGCTATCCAATTCCATATTCTTCGATTATTTGCTAACACCTCCGATTTTTCCACGGTCAACTCGGAATATTGAGGCGATGTCAAAGCCGAACGCGTTTATGCTGTCTTCAATGGAATATTTTAATGGAAATGGATTAAGCCCCGTTTGACCCATGCTAATTTTTGTTCAATTACATTTCATTTCTACCTCTTCTATTTTCAATCACTCAATCTTTCATAAAATAATATTACACGAAAATTAAAAATTTTTCCTTTTTTTAACTATTCATTTTCAAAAAAATACTAATGTACCCATTTTCATTTCCACAAAATGGGGACCAAACAGGGATAATTGGCCACGTATGTGGGAACCGTGAATATTATATTAATCAAAAAAGGGTCGATGGCAAATTGAAAGAGGGTAGGCTTCTCGCGAAAGAAAGATATAGGTTTGTAGGTGGTTATACCTTTAACTTATTTGTAACTGTTACGCAGGTTCAATAGATTTTTTAGATAAACGCTTTTAGCCCTTGTTTGAGCTCCGTTTTGAAGAGAAAGTGTATTTTTGAGTAGTGAGTTTTTTAAGAATGTATGGTTAGGAAGTAAGAAGAATTTTCGATTTACGTGTAGATTTATTTTATTGGACAATGCATAATTGAAAATGAGTTTTGAAAAAATGAGACTCAAACAAGGACTTGAAATATAATTGACACATTATATTTATGGCATATCTATTATTTAATCGAACTAATGTTCTAATAAATTAAATAATAGAGTCCATAAATTCAAATATTAATAACTTATTAATCACAATGAATTGTGATTTTGAGATACAAATTATGTATATAATAACGAGATACGAATATCATTATTACAATTAGATCATTATGTGTGGTATTCATAGTCGAACCTGAGAAGAGGCCATCGCCTTAGGCCAGCTCTTTAGGTAGCCCAAAAAATTAAAAAAAAAATTCTTTTTTCTTATTTCTTTTTTGTTTTTTAAATCTCACAACTACATTCAAAACCTCCAACAATTGTTCCATTAAATCAAAACCTAAGCCTCCTCCTAAATTCTTAACTTCTCCGAAATCCAACTCGTTTATACTCATTCACTCTTGCTCCATACAATATGACTTCTTCAACAATGATATCATAAATCCCGTAACAATATTGTATACATTTGAAGTTAAATTGCTTGAATTTTTTTATTTTTGTTGATTTACCCATTCTTTTTTATTTATATTTGTTTTATATATGATTTGCTGCAAAAATTAATTGTTTGTAGGTATATCTAGATTTTTATTAGTTCCTAATGAATTTTATAGATACTATAGTTTTTAGATTAATCGGTTTTCATGCAATAAAACTTTTTCATGTATTTATATTGGTTTTGCATTGTGTGCCTACATTCTTTATTATTTTTTTAATTTTTTGTGCATTTGAAAAACTCTATATTTTATGATCAAGTAAGAAACGCCACTGACGTTTGAGAGTTTGGAAATTATATATTATTTTTTTGTTCATATAAATATTTTCAATAATAGGTTCGTTGTGGGGATTATTTGCTTTGCTTCATCGAATTTGCATTACACTGTTATTTGGTCTCTGTTTTGGTGCCAATTATGAATGTGGTGGTTTTGGGAGTACTGTAAGTTTTGGATTAGGAATACTCAATTCATTATGTAACAAAAGTGAGAATGTGTATCAATATTATTGCCAATTTGAGTGCACTCTATACCCCTTTGTTTGAGTCAAAATTTCCACCTACTTTTGAAAATGCTGCACACATTTTGGTTGCTATTTTTTTTTTTTTGAAATATTAGATCGACCTTTCAATGTAAGATATACAAATATCTCCACAAAACTTGTATAGTATCAGCCCAATCTCATAAAATAAGAGATGTGCATTCAAAAAAAAATTTGTATGGCTTTCTATGAGTGATTTTCTGTTAAACTAGATGATGGTATATATAGATTCAATTGCCTTTGGTTTATGACTTATGAGGGTTTCATCAATATAATACTATCCACTAAATAATTTATTATAATGTATTAATTTATGTTATTATCCTTATGAATTTGCCTTATGGTCGAATAATTCGACTATTCAAAATTGATTGATTTTGTCTCTAAAACCGCAAGATAAATTGTATTAAAGTTATCGTTTAAAACATTATAATATAAATATTTTGAATATTTATTTTATTTTATTTGTTTTTTAATGTTGATTTTAACTTAATAAATTTAATTCCATAAAACTCTTATAAATGAAGAAAATTGATTGTTTGCCATGATTTAGGAGCCCAAATTCTAAAATTTGCCGTAGGCCCCACAAAACACAGGTACTGCCCAATGGCATTTCTCACTTTTAAGATGAGTAAAAGAACAAAATAATAGAGACCTACTGAAGAGATTAGAGATGGCAGTGGCCCTTCCCCCGTCTCGCTCACCTTAGGCAGGGCGAGGCAACAACTTGCCTCGTTTGTTTTATATATATACATTTTCAAATTTTCGAGTTATGCTATTATTAAAGAATAAAAAATAAATTTTAAATTTTAAAATCCAGAGTAAATAATGCTCAGGCTAACATTTTTTTTACTTCTTCACAGGGAGGGTTTGGGACGGGAACCATCGAGGCGATTTTTTTGCCCTATTCAAGGCAAGTTATTTTGTCATCTCTAGTAGAGATTCCACATGGATAGTTGTTTGAATGTCAGTGGCTAATCTCTAACGTTCGGTAGTAAAATTGGTCATTTGATTTAAGGTAATCATAATGCTTTTATATGAGGACAGTCATACTTTGATGACGTTGGATGTTTCTCAAGAATTGCTAATACGACATCTTTCAAGTACGTCAATAGAAAGATTTGTCATTCTTATATAATAAAAAATTATAATCTACATTTCATTCACTTAATTTAATAATGAAATTATTAGTCGAAGTGTATTCATAAGTCGAAAAAAGTCTTCGACGTGCATTGACTTAACAGTGGGATGAAAGATATGATCGATAATCAAGATTAATAGATTCATATCTCGTAATTGATCAAATCATATCGACGAAAGAATTATAATTTCATAGTAAACGAACAATTTAATTTTGTCATACCACGTGACATTTTCTATCACATGTATTGCCTTGACACATTACTAGACATTAATTTGGAACGATGGATGTGAATTAGTGATAAATTAAAATATCCATTTTGATTAAATCAAAATAATAATTCACGTCGTTAGGTATCGTAATTAGAACCCTAATGAGCCACATATAAAAAAAGAACAAGATTAATGAGATTTATCAATTAATTAATAGACAAATAATGGACAATTAATTATTTGAATTGCTTGTTAATATGTCTGAACTAATTAATTGATAGACCAAATTAAATTAAATGGATTAATTAAACATTGGACCATGTTAAGTTTAAGAGACGAGCTAATCTCACTTGGACTTTTATTTATAGGCTGCTAGGGCTTGAAAATCCATAACACAATACAATTATATTCTTGGTAGCACAAGAAAATAAAACTGTAGTTATCTCAATCTTGTTCTTGTGTGGATTTTTATTGGAATCTGGACAATTTGACAGTTTTAAATTACAGATCGCAATTGTTCGGTTTCCCAAAAAAAAGCAAAAGAGACTACAAAATTCAACAAATGTATTATTTCTATCACATAGTCTATTTAAATATAAAGCAGATCCTTGGTGAAAAATGAAATCTGATTTATTTTTCATTCTGTAAGATTAAGTAAATTTCTTACATTATCGAGTGAGCAACGGTAACTTTTTTTAGTTGAGTGAGCGAATTCATTTTGAGATGGTACAATTTCTTTAAAGAACAAGTCTGCAATTTTAGTGGCGTTATCAGCTTTGTGACATGGAATGAAATGTGCCATCTTACTAAACCTATCCACCACTACAAAAATCAAATCCTGACCCTTTTTAGTCCTAGGCAAACCTAACACAAAATCCATTGAGATGTCTACCAAAGGTTCACTAGTTACTGGTAAAGGTGTATAAAGCCCATGAGGTAAGACCCTAAATTTAGCATGTTTACAAGTTATGCATCGACTACAAATTCGTTCCACATCAACTTTCATTTCAGGCCAATTGCTACCCAAAGTGACCCATTGGACCTCCACTATGTGCTTCTCTAACCAATAATTCACGCATAGAACAATTAGGAACACATAATTTATTTTTCAGAAACAAGTATCCCTCATACTTAAAGAACTTATCTACAGCCCCCTTATGACATGAATTGTAAATGTTGAAAATTTCATAATCATTAGCATACATGTCCTTAATGTACTCAAAACCAAGTAATTTTGCACTTAAAGTAGTTAAAAGCACATACCTTTGTGACAATACATCTACTACTACTTTTTCCTTACCTTGTTTGTAACGAATGATATATGAAAAAGTTTCTATGAATTCTATCCAGTGGGCATGTCGTTTGTTTAACTTACCTTGACCTCACAAATGTTTCAGTGATTCATAATCGGAATGAATTACAAACTCCTTTGGTCACAGGTAATGTTGCCGTGTCTCTAAGGCTCGAATGAGTTAATAGAGCTCCTTGTCATACGTAGGATAGTTGAGAGCTGCACCACTTATCTTCTTACTAAAGTAGGCTATATGTCTCTTATTATGCATTAAGATTGTTCTAATACATATTCCTAATGCATCACACTTAATCTCGAAAGTTTGCCAAAGTTAAGAAGTGCTAAAATCAGTGCTTTACACAAACAATCTTTGATAGTATTGAATGCATGTTCTTGTTCTACCCCCCATTGAAATCCCACATTTTTCTTAACAATTTCAGTTAGTGGCGAGGTAATCGTGCTGAAGTCCCTTACAAAACACCTGTAAAAACTAGTCAATCCATGAAAACTTCTAACTTTAGTTATATTTTTAGATGTTGACCAATCCTTAATAGCCTTTATTTTCTCTTCATCTACCTATACACCATTAGCACTAACTACAAAACCTAGAAATACAACCCTACCCATGCAAAATGTGCACTTTTTAAAATTAGCATAAAGTTGTTCTTTATTCAAAACCACAAGCGCACACCTCAAATGTTCTATATGCTAATCAAGATTCTTGCTATAGATTAAAATGTCATC